GTACCAAAACAGGACCTTGGGTCGCCACAAAAAAATTAAAAACATATATATGCCTTTTAAGTATTTAATAGCAAGATATTTAAAGTGAAAAATACAAATTATTTTCAAATAAATGCATTGACTGATTACATATTTATCATTTGGCTAGCTTAATCTCTCTCATAGATTATAATATATATACACTGGAAACAATACTTAAATGTAATTTTTAAAATTATTTTAAGATACATTAATATATATACGAAAAAAATATCTGAAACTTTGTGAGGCCCTAAGCTGTAGCTTGTTTCGCTTATGCCTAAATCCGGCACTGGGTGGAACACTACCTAAAAAACAAGCAACAAACGAAAAGCTCTGGTAATATATATATTTCTTATTATAACTAATTTTTGTTTCATTCTGTACAGCATACACCTTTCCACTTTTCTTGTCACTTGCTGAAATGTGAAACTACGCAGTTGTTCAGATAACAAAAGAAATGTATATTACAGAAATTCTTTAAATTATATATATGTACACACACACGTGTGCGTGTTTTTTATATATGTCTTTAAGGATCAAATGAATCCATGTCGACATCATGAACGTCAGAGGGCGCTTGACTCGCAATCTGAGGGTCGCGGGTTCGAATCCCCGTCCCACCAAACATGCTCGCCCTTTCAGACGGTCAACCCCACTATTCGTTGGTGACAGAGTAGCCCAAGAGTTGGCGATGGGTAGTGATAACTAAATAAGGGACGGCTAGCGCAGATAGCCCATGTGTAGCTTTGCGCGAAATTCAAACCAAACCAAACGTCAGAGTTATTGAATCAATTGTCCATAACAGTTTATGTAGTATCTCGGGAGTTTAACTTTATATATAAGTTTTTATGAAGTAAATCTAAATTCAACTTACGATGTTTGATGACAAATTACTTTATTTTGAAATCTTCAAATCTGAATTATCAATTTCGTCTTTCCTTTTCTTTTCTTACCTTCACAGTGAGAAATGAATATTTGTTTGCTCTTTGGTCAGTGCGTTTCTTTGAGACGTTAAGTTCTGTCACATATTTATATCGTACACTATAACCTTCTATAAGTCTACATTAGATCTACCAATTAGTATTTTACTATATTTATTTGTTTTGATTTGAAACAGAAAGTTTGCTTTTGACAACATGCGTATGTGATTTTACCGATTCTTTAGTTGTTGCCGATCTAGAAAGACCTTGCCCTAGACAACTTAAAAATGTCATGGAAGGACAACTGTAATGCTTATGACCGCAATCTCACAATATGGAACTACCTGTACAAACGGCAATAAATATACTTTACGAGTCCAGATTAAGTTCGAGAACACTTGGTTCTACATCGTAGTTGATCGCACAGTATCGTCCATCTCATTAGGAGTGTTGTGAAAATGATTAGAATTGGAAGCAACACCCTTGAGAGTCGTTAGGAGTGTTGTGAAGGTGATTAGAACTGGAAAGCAACATCCTTGAGCGTCGTTAGGAGTGTTGTGAAGGTGATTAGAACTGGAAAGCAACATCCTTGAGCGTCGTTAGGAGTGTTGTGAAGGTGATT